TAACATACCGCTTTAATACGGATTAAATCTTCAGTTTATTAACAATTGTCTCGTGGACTCGTGGTATACGTTACTTAATAACTATTGTAAACTATTATTAACAATTTGAAAAATTATATATATATTAACTTTAAAAATAAATCATCCCGCAGTGTACCGCTGATTAAAATCTAGTTATTTAGTATACTGGTAGAATATGTATTTCAGTGCAATTTTTCTTGATTATAAAATTTTATTACGTCGAGCAAAATAATAGTGTTAGTTATCTCTAATGTTTTTCAAAATAATATTTTAAACTTTATTTAAGATCAATATTTTAAGAAAATATATTAAAAATCTCATTTTTTTATTCGTGTTAGTTTAGTTGTCAGAATCTCAAGAGATACTCCTGAAGCGAGGGTATATAAAACACAACAAGGTACGTATCCAATCATATATATGAAAATTGGTCAACTTTCTCCATCTTTTCACCATGTCAACACACTAGAGAGTGCCATGTGTCCACAAATGAATCATTAAAAAAATGATTCGCTTCATCTTTATCGGTCCTTTTCGTCTTCTCTGTACGTTTTTATCGGTTTTATAAAAACAAAAAAAAATAGAAACCATATGTAATTCGGATTGGTGACGATTTGCTTTTCTCGGTCTTACGATTTACCGGTTTTATAAAAATAAAACAACATAAAAATCATATACAATTCGACTTAGTTCGATTTTGGTTATTTTCAGTTTATTCCATGATTTTTTGCAAAAAAAGTAATATTAGATTTTATATCTTAAATTGTATCATTTTGATTTAGATTCGATAAAACCATGAGCACATTCCAACATACTTTACCAATTAAATATTAAACCTAATATTATTATGAAATATATCATCTTTCAAAGAGTTTGATTTTCTTTTCTCCAACATGCACGTATTGATATAAACATTCTTAAAAATATCATTAGATTTACAAAAGTTATTCATCTAACTTATATTACCAAGAAGCTTCTTGCAAAAATAATTAAAATCGAACCAAATAAATATTATAATAATAAAATTTATAAACAAAAAAATGAATGGTTTTAAACTAAACCGAACCGAAACCAAAACATTTTTATTTTTTAATAATTGTAGCCGAACTGGTTTTTAGAAGAAACCAAAATCAAAACGAATCATTTAATTACTGATTGATTCAATTTTTTGGATAAGATTTTTTTTCCACTCCATATTTATTACTGTGGACATAGGTTTATAATTTTTTTAATCGATAAAATAAATTATAAAACAGGAAATATAATGGATAAAAAGTGAATATTTATAACACTAATAACCAAAAAATTGATCAATACAAATATTCAACATTAATTTAAAATAAAAATATAAAAAAGCCCGCTCGTATATAGGAAATAAAATTTACTTATTTATTGATGTGTTTTTAAAGATTTTGTTATCATTTTATCTTTTTCTACTAGTTCGTATCAGTTCTGATCATCTATAATTCACATCTCTTACATTTAATTCATTAGTTTAAACAACAAAATATGTATTGGTACAATATGTATTCTAGAGCTATTTTCTTGATTCTTAAGTTTATCTCATTGAGTAGAAAAAATATTGCTGAGATTATCTCAATTATTTTACAAAATAAGATTTTTAACTTTATTTATGATGCATATTTTATCCAAAAAAAATATTAAACACTTTATTTTTATTCACCTTAGCCCTCCAAATCTCCAGGCACGGCCCTCAGCGAGATGCTCAAAGACAACGAGGTACGAAACTATGAATACTATTTGATATATATTGGTACAAGATGTATTTTAATTAGTGTTATTTCTCTTGATTTATTTTTTTTATTTCATAGAGTAAAAAATTGCTAGTTACCTCTAATAATTAACAATATAAAACTATAAGCTTTATTTATGATGCATCTTTTATCCGAATAAAAATATTAAACTTAACGTTTCATTTTTTTATTTTTCTTAGCACTCTAGATTTCTAGGCACGGCCCTGGGTGAGATCCTCAAACACAATGAGGTATGTATTCAATATTCATAACGCATTTAGCAGATTCAGTTGTGTTAAAAAAAAATTAAAAAATAATGTCTTTTTATCCCTAAACTTTCAGCTAGAAAAAAACTTATGATGATATACTTTTTTTTTGGTGAGAACTTATGATGATATACTTGAACTAAGAGAAATAATTCTATAGATTTTACATTTTCCAATTTATTATAGCTGTACATCATAAATTTTTTTACTAGTATGTTATTTCTCCTTTGTATCATCGTTTGTAAAACTATTACAGTTAAATATGTGTATATATATATATATATATATATATATATATATATATATATTTGTGTTTTTGAAGTTGTTGTTATCATCTTCTCGTCTTCTACGGGTTAATATCAGTTTTGATAATATGTAATTCACATTTCTTACATTTATTTCGTTAATTTAAACAACAAAAATAAATATAGTATCTAATCTACATAAATGCTATTTGGTATATTGGTATACAATATGTATTTTAATGCTATTTTTCTGATTTTAAAATTTTATTTTAGAGTAAAATAGGGTTAATGTTTTTTCTTCCAAAAATAGTTTTAATCATCACTAATATTTTAAAGTTTATTTACGATGCATATTTTATCCGAAAAAATTAATAGTCTTATTTTGTTTTGTTTTTGCCTTAGCCCTCCACATCTCTAAGTACAGTTCTGGGCGAGATGTTTAAAAACAACGAGGTACGTATCCAATATTGATAATGCAATTAGTATAGGTTCATGTGTGTTAAGAAAAATATATAAAAACATACTCCCTCTATTTCGTTTTAGTTGTCGTTTAAGGTTTTTTCACACAAATTAAGAAAAGCATTTAATTTTCTGTTTTACCCTTTATTAATATATTTTATAAAAAATTTCATTGGCCAAAACATTAAAACAGTAGGGATAAAACTGGAATTTTGACCAAACATTTGCATTGAAAACCTAAAACGATAACTATTATGAAACAAAATTTAAATCCTAAAACGACAACTAAACTGAAACGGAGGGAGTAATACTTTTTAATTTTTATCAATTGTTTGTTATACTATTAAATTGACTATTTACTTGTAGGAGAAGGAACAAATATTTTCGGATCTAGAACGAGGAACAATGCTAACAAGACCTATGGGAGAAGAATATATTCAGATACGGCTTTCTAAAGACACAACGACTCAACCGGATTCTAAGATACCCGGTCTTTGGTCTTCTTCGGTTAAACCCGAGTTTTGTTGCATCTATAGAGTACCAGACCGGTTACGCAAAGTGAACCCCGAGGCTTACACTCCTCAAATGCTGCTAATCGGACCTCTTCACCATTCCAAGAAAGTTGAAGCCTTCAAGCGCTATAAAACCGAGTTAAGGTAACAATGAACAACATAGTATTAATTTTATTTGAAACATTTAGATTTTAAGTTAAGCTAATACGTATAGATTATTCCAGATATTTGAACTATCTCAACATGGAGCTTCACAAGAAGAAGTGCCTTGATAGTATTGGAGATATATATGGGGAACAGCCTGTCAAAGAGTTCAGGAGACTCATCGAAATAAATGAGAAATTCATAAGAGATAGCTACGCCGAGTCAACGATTTGGATCAATACTAAAGATTTCGTAGAAATGATCCTCCATGACTCGGTGTTCATACTAATGTTCTTCATTCAAACAGGAAGTACTCTAAACTTCAGCAAGAAAGAAGATATTCTTTTCAACCAGAGTCGTCTCATAAACTCTACCGCCATTTTAGAAGATCTAATCTTGCTCGAGAACCAACTTCCTTATGCCCTTTTAGAGAAACTCTTTGAACCTTTTTTCTCAAATCTTGATACTAAGGAAACGTTTCGTGACATTACCCTTCGAGCTTTTGGCTTCGAGGGAAAGATCAAAGAAGAAGTGAGATTCCAACATTTTACTGATTTGTTTCGGTGTGTCCGTGTCAGCACACTTTCTTTGGCAGAAGAACAAATCAGTATAGCAAAGAATGAGCCACCGAAGAGCAGAAAGATTATGTACAACGCAGACAAACTAGACAGTGCAGGAGTGAATTTTGTGAATGTGGATGAAGAAAATGATTTATCGTTGGTGATTACTTTCAAAGACGGAATCTTGAAAATGCCTTGTTTCACAGTGGAAGACAACACCGAGAGGGTTATGAGGAATTTGATGGCACTCGAGCAATGTCATTACCCTCGAACTACTTATGTTTGTGACTACATCTCCTTCTTGGATTTCCTCATCAATACCGACCAAGACGTTGACTTGCTCGTCAAGAAAGGTAAACGCACTTTACAAAAACATAATTTTAAAATATTTTCGAATACAGTATAATTTTTGTATTTTGGTTTCATTTTGTCCTGATTAAAAACAAAAGAAAACTCAGGTTTCAATTTTTCGGTTTCCATCAACGGCGGTTAGATTTCAAATTGGATATTTTTTTTGGTAGTCTTATGTTGTAGCCTTGTAGGTAGTTGAATATCATCATAGTAGGGTTAGATTAAATATCTCAAATATAATCAGATATTTATAATAACGATTTTGTTTTACTAAACAAGTTGGACATTCATATTATAAATTAGTAAACTGGTGTTTTATTTTATTTTTTCAATTCTAAGATTTGTAACCCATTTTACGTTGAAAGGAATTGTAAAGAACTGGTTAGGACATCAAGGATCGGTGACAGAAATGGTAAACAAGCTGTGTTTAGGGCTCGTGGATTTCGGATCTCACTATTGTGATATAGTCGAAAACCTCAACAAACACTACGACAATCGTCTCAACAGATCGGTTGGCACTCTCCGGCGAGTTTATTTCAAAGATCTTTGGACCGGTACTGCCACCATCGCCGCCGTTGTTCTCCTCGTGTTGACTTTGATTCAGACTGTGGCTTCCATTCTCCAAGTCATGATGCAGAACGACAATAAGTCTCCGCCGCCTCCGGCTCCGTCCCGGGGACTGTAGACTGTTTCTTGTTATACACGAAACCAAACTTTATTTGTCTTTTTATTTTCCATTCAAAATCTTGTTTTTCTCTTTAAATCGACATTCCACAATAATGCTTCTTTTTCATGTTGTTGGTAAGGGTAACATCATCCATTCATTTTCATTATGTATCTTCAAGTTAATAACAACGTATTGCTTGCGTTCAAAAAATAAAATTTGTTTTTATCTTTATCTTACTCAATTTTCAGAGTGAATTTGGAGGGGTAAAAAATAACAAATAAAAGTTATGAATGGTACTAATAATTAATCTTTGTAACTTATAATCAAAAGTTTTATATTTTGTAATCAGTATTGAAAAATTTCATTTTAAAAATTCATTTTCAGGAGAATTAGCTAAAAAGAATACTTTCTACTATCTTTGTGCGTGAATCTAAATTTTTATATTTTTATGATTATATGGTTCTCTAGTTTGAGTGTTTGTTCCCCGTATCCTTTGGAGCTTTTGCTTTCCCTTGTTTAACGAATCTTTTAGACGAAAAAATAAAATAAAAGAATGTGCTTTGGAAGTCGAACCAGTAAAGATACATTTGATAACAAGTTTATCCACAAGTAAAGCTTATAAGAAAGGTGGGCTTTATTGACAGTTCATATAACCGGTGATTACATTATACTATGAAATCAAAATATTGGTGGCCCTAAACTTTTTAAAATCAGGGGATCTATTCTATCACTTTTTAAAGCACTGGCTAAATCTTTTCGGCTGAAACTCAAAGAACAAGTGGTCCATCAAAAATCAGAAACTTTTTTTTTTTGGTAACATGTTACGTATTTATACCATTTTTATATTTGCGACAGCGATTAGATTACAGAAGAAACTCATAAGACATAAAGACCAAAAACTAGAACTTAAAACTACAATTACAACAGAAACACGACAAGGAAAACACAAGTGAAAAACATCCAGCAGAGGCCCGAAAAAGAAACACTGATTCCAAACCACGAATCTTGGACATTTGCGTGATTACCTCAGCTCCAAAGAACTCAGGTCCTCATCGTAGTTTCCACGAGCAAACCCTCTCCGAAGCAGTCCTCGAACCTCAGAACAAAAGAGCGCTTACAGCATAAAACTTTTATGTGGTAAGCCTTATTACACGGTTGTTAACCGTCTTAGAGCAATAAGAGTCTTGCAAGATGGATTATGCTGTTTATGTGACTTCATAGATATATAACCAGGGGCGGATCTACTTCAATTAAGATGGGTGCAGTTGCCACCCCTAATTTTTTGAAATCTTTGAAGAATTTTAAGGAATTAATTTAATTGCCCCCTATAAAAAATCTTTCTTGCCACCCTTAATTTGTTTTTTTTCCAATTAACCAAATTGACATTACATAAAAAGGGTAAATAAATATTACTTATCTCTTTGCCCCTTTAATTTAGCTAAATTAGTTACAAATTTAAATCCAAATAGAAATAACAACATTATCTAAATGCATAGATCATAATATTTATTTCCTTTTGTATCAACTAAAAAATTAATGTTTAAAAAATTTGTCTCATCCCATAACTTTGACGGTTCATATTTATGATAATTGGTTTCTTTTTAATTTTTTATGTGTTGTTTTCTAAATATTTGAGTTTTTTATAAAACTTTTTTAGTAAAAAACTAAAAATTTAGTAAATATAAATTTTAAACTAAATATGTTAATTCAAAATCTCTAACTTTTAAATATTACTCTTTGATTCATTTAAACTCAAATGATTTTTAATAGAAATATTGTATCTATTTTACTTTTTCTTATATAGTATAATGAATTTTATATATCATAAATAACAAAGCAAAAAATATTTTCAAAATTTTTTTTTATTATATATATATATATTACATCAAATATAAATATTGATCGCCCCCTCTAAATTTTTGTTCTAGATCCGCCACTGAAAATAACGAACGACACTTTTTAATGTCCTTTGAAAATGCATACATGAGCGTTCTCTTCAATTCCATTAGCTTCGAGAGTTTTCTCATACTATACTTAAAAAAAAAAAAAAAGATTATATGTTCTAGGATAAACCTTCATCAACCGTTTTGGCTTTCCACGATGTAAATCAATTTCCGTAGATGTTGTAGTTTATAAAAAACGTATAATAATGGAAAACTCTTCCAATATTTGTATATATATATATATAACCAACCTTAGAGCAATAAGAGTATTGCAAAATGGATTATGCTCTAAACATCATAAGCTTTCTTTCCAATTCCATCAGCTCCAAGAAAATGATCTTACTATAACAAAATATATAGATTATCTCTTATAAAGACAACATTTAACCGTTTTATCTAAAAAACATAAAATAGAAAATAAACTCTTCCAAAATTTGGATAAATTACCACTCGAAGTGGTTAATGATGCCTCATTAGATGCATCATGCATATACCTGGTTTCGTCCAAATAGAAATGATCTTGATATATCTTCCATTGTTATAAGATCCATGCCATCAAAAGCTACATGGCCCTACTGATGATGAAGTGTCGACCATATGGTTCATGATACGCTTCCAAGACATTCGAGCAATGAAGAATGGGCATGATGGATACACTAAGTCACTCTAGATCTTGTGACAACATATATCTTCTTGTCATTTCGGGTTAGAAACGCCGATAATCGCATTTCTCCGGTGATTTCTACTTTGTATTTCCTTTAAAACGGATTGGTGCTCTCAAAACGGAGCTTTAAGAAATTTTGTCAACAAATTTCTTGACATACAAAAGGTTTGACCAAGCAGCTCCCACAAAGTCACATCTCACTTTGACTTACTCCACAAGACCCAAATTTAACTACACGCACCTTATTGGCCACTATTAATAACCCCTTATGGTACACCTTCCCGTAGACAATAACTTACGTTTCTTCTTCCTTTAAAAAAGTTCAAATTAGCATCTCTTCTCTCACTTTACCCTCTCCTCTCTCTCTGTTTCTTTTTCCGTAACTCTTCATCTTCTTTCCCCAAAAAATCAGATTTTTACGTTTTCTAATTCTCCGTTGTTTAATTCCAAACTTTCTAGGGTTTTTTCCTATAACGAGAGAGAGAAAAGCTTCTAGATTTTAGCGATGGGATGTTTCGGACGCACTACGAAATCGAACAAACGATCAGATATCAAAACCACGAAGAACAACGATTTCACCCCAAAAAAACTCACCATCAATTCAAACATCGTCCATAAGAACGTAAATCTGACACAACCCAGCTCAGGTATCGACTTGAATTCGATAAAAAATCGATTTTTATTCCTCAATTTGGAATCTTGCGATGTGGGTATTCCTCTGTTTTAGTAGTTTCGATTTGGGTTTCTTCGTTTTTAGGTTTTGTGTTCTTATTGTTGTATTTATGGATTCGTGTAGATTGTTTAAAAGTTAGTCTATGTGGAGATGTAAGCAAGGAGGTAGTTACTAAGGAGGATCAATTAGCTTTGGATGCTAAGGATACTAACGTTGAAGATGAAGTTATAGGGAAGAAAGCACAGACTTTTACGTTTGAAGAACTCGCTGTTTCGACCGGAAACTTTAAGAGTGATTGTTTTCTAGGTGAAGGAGGATTTGGAAAAGTTTACAAAGGTTTCATTGAGAAAATCAATCAGGTTTGTATATATGTTTTTTGATTGATTATTTATAGTGTAATGTGGCTAGCTGATTAGAGGTTTTAAGGATTTGTGTTTGGGTTTTTGATAGGTTGTTGCAATTAAGCAACTTGATAGGAATGGTGCTCAAGGAATTAGGGAATTTGTTGTTGAAGTGTTGACGTTAAGTCTCGCTGATCATCCGAATCTTGTGAAGCTTATTGGATTTTGTGCTGAGGGTGTTCAGAGACTGTTGGTTTACGAGTATATGCCGCTAGGTTCTTTGGAAAATCACCTCCATGGTATGTTGTATACCTCAACTTAAAGTGGTCTTTATCTTTCCTTCTACGCGTATTACAGAACGAAAAAAGTGGTATGCCAAAGGATCATAATATTGGTATTGCATCGGGTTGCTTTGTTGATTATGTTAACTTGTTTTCGTATATTTTGTTTGGTTTTAGATCTTCCTCATGGTAGAAAACCGCTTGTTTGGAGCACTCGGATGAAAATAGCGGCTGGTGCAGCAAGAGGACTAGAGTATCTCCACGATACAATGAAACCTCCTGTGATATACCGCGATCTTAAATGTTCGAATATCTTGCTCGATGAAGGATATCACGCAAAACTCTCCGACTTTGGATTAGCTAAAGTCGGACCAAGAGGGAGTGAAACCCATGTTTCCACAAGGGTTATGGGAACATATGGTTACTGTGCTCCTGATTACGCATTAACAGGACAACTCACATTCAAATCAGATGTATACAGTTTCGGAGTTGTTCTTTTGGAGCTTATCACTGGAAGGAAAGCTTTCGATAACACGAGAACACGTAATCACCAGAGTCTAGTTGAATGGGTAAATATAAAGATCTCTAGCTCTATTATAAGTCTTGCTTCTCTTCTTTTTCTAGTTGAGCATAATTCACACTTTTCGACGTAATTTTACAGGCACGTCCGTTGTTTAAAGATAGGAAGAATTTCAAGAAAATGGTTGATCCGTTACTCGAAGGAGATTACCCGGTTAGAGCATTGTATCAAGCACTTGCAATAGCTGCAATGTGTGTTCAAGAACAGCCTAGTATGAGACCGGTGATAGCCGATGTAGTAATGGCTTTGGATCACTTAGCTTCTTCAAAATATGATCATAGTCACCGTCAAAAGCAGCCTAATGTGACAGAGACTAAAGTCGAGGAAGAGAAAACACTTGTAGAATCTAATGTTTGTGTCGAGGAGAAACAAGAAGAGATCAAGATTTGCTCAGATCAAGCGACTTAATCATCATCAATGACGATTCTTCTTTTGAAAACAAAAAAAAAAACAAAAGATTGTTAAAATTTTGATAATTTTCTTCTTGATATGTAGAATGCTTCGTTTATGTAAGCAACAATTTTGTTCGATTTAGTGAAGATGAAGCCGGTTTTTGCAAAAGTCCGGTTTATTACTAAACCAATCAAGCCGGTTCTACGGAGATTAATTTGTGAAATTCGATGACGAAAATGACACTGTTACCCTCAAAACTTCTGTTAAATTACGATTGTGCCACAACTATATAAAGGAGAAACCCGAAATAAGAATCCGGAAGCGAAGCTAAAGCTAAGCAACGGCCGCCGCGAAGCTAACCTCCAAAAATGGCGAAAGGAGACGATAATGTGCAGAGGAAGAAGAATAAATTGACGAGGAAGAAGATGAGTAGGAAGAACGATACCGCCACCGTCTCTGCTCGTATCTCCGCCATTATCGCCGCCAAGAAACGCCGCAAGTCTGGTAAACGCAGCATGTGTCAGGTATCTCACTTCGATTCGATTTTAGGGTTTTTGAAATCGGAAATGTTCAATTTGAGAGAAGACTATGTGTTTGATGAATCGTAGGGAATGTGTTTTACGCTTCCTACACTTGAAGATCCATTCAATGAAAGACAAGGTAAAGGTGATATAACTAAAAAGAAAAAGAAAAAGAAAAAGGTTAAGAGTAGAGAAGAGAAGAAACCATCTACTATGTCCATTGATGGTGTTGAGAAGAAGATGGATGGTCCACCAAAGTTTCTCATGTTAAACTTGAATGAGATTGAGAGCTCGTTTCGTAAAGATAGTACATATAGTGAACAGCATGATAAGTCTTTGTTCACTAGCACTTGGGGGATTGAGTTCTGGAAATGTTTTTCATCTGGGAAAGATATTTTGGAGACGAGTGGAATGTCTTCTACTGTGGAACAGATTGCTTGGATTGTTTCAAGTGCAGCTGATGCTATTGCTAGACGGGAGAAAGACGAGGAGGAAGAGGAGGAGGAGGAGGAGGAGGTTGGAAACAGTCCTTTTCTTTTGTACCTTGTGCCATCTCAGTCCAAAGCTTCTCAGGTTAGGATGTGATCCATGTTGTTGTTCATTTAGTGAATTTCTATGAAGACTTGATAAAATGAACCGTTTCGGACACCAAATATGCATAATACATTACATTATCCTGATTTTATTTGTATTATATATCTCGACGAGGGGCATAATGCAGCCATTTGTGTTTTTTGTTTTCTCATGCTTAGGTCCGATCCGTTTGCAAGGCACTGAAAGGTATTGGAATTCACACAGTGAGCTTACACCAAGGCGCATCACTAGATCATCAGATTTCAGGGTACATCTAACCATTCCATTATCTATTTTTTCTTTCTGCAGTATAGTCTGTTTTACACATTTTCCATGCTGTTGCTACATTAAGGATAATCTCCTTCTTTTTTCCCTCCTATTCTGACAAACTGCCTTTCGAGCTGTAGATTGAAAAGTGTTGAGCCTGAATTTATAGTTGCTACACCTGAGAGACTTTTGGAGATTGTTAACTTGAAGGGCGTTGATATATCCAGCGTTTCATTGCTGGTATGCTAAAATCTTTCTCCTGTTTGTTTCATGTTTCATTACAACTGCAGTCCAAACATGTCCAAATCGTATTACTTTGAAAAACCTACTATGGCTTCAAATTTATTTGTTTCAATTAAGATTTTATGTCGACTTCTGTAGTGAGGAAGGTTGGCAGGTCCTTTTTGTTTCAAAGATGTTTGTTAGTATTTGTTCCTTTTCAAGCTTTCAATAATATACCATCAACTAGGGGTGTCAAAATGAGCTTGCAACTCATGAGCTGGCTCAGCTCAGCTCGATTTTTCATGAGCACGAGCTCTGTTTTTTAGGCTCATTTAATAAATGAGTTATGTGATCGAGCTTTTTTTAGATCGCGAGTTATATGAGCGAGCTTTAATGAACATGAGCTAGCTCATGAGCTCGGCTTTTTTAGAAATATATATATATATATATATATATATATATATATAAATATATACAAAATGTCAACAGAAGCATATATATCTTTTCATTTAAATTAAACAAAACTAGAGTTATTCTATTAGAAAATTTGTGTTTTGAGATTATTTTTCTTGGATTTATTTCCATTATTTAACTTTAGAATTAACTATATTATTGAATTTATTTTAAGTTTTTTTTAAAAAAGTTACAATATTTTTGTTATTATATTTATTTGTTATGATCTCGCGAGCTAGCTCATTTAACTCGCGACCAAGATAATCTGAGTCCGAGTTTATATATTAAAGCTCATCTAATAAATGAGCTGAGCTGAGCTAGCTCATGAAATACCCGAGTTCATCATGAACTAAGCCGAGTTGAGCGAGCTAGCTCATTTTGACACCCCTACCATCAACCATCTTTATCTGCCGCCTGGTATGGATTGAGTTTAGTTTCCTATTCTGAATATTTATCCCAGTGTTATTGTTTGAAGTTTGTCCCAGTATTGATTGCTTTGATTGTCTTAAAGGATCTTAGATTCTTAGTACTGGACTAGGCAGGTTTCCAAACTTCATTCTGAGTTCTCTACTTTAGTTGAATCCTGATCCTTATAGCTACATATCTACTTAGTCCACACCTTTCCACAATAAGAAAGGCTCATTTTCATGACAGTTTTCTCTGGCCTTTTAATGTTATGGAGGACATCTATATATCTTCTTATGTTTATGGATATTGGTTGGTCTCCCTCTAACTCCATGTAGCACATGCTATGGAGTCTCTTTATCCTATATTTAAGAGCGTTCAACACTGCTAATTGATATCTCACACTTACACAGGTAATTGATGAACTAGGTTCACTTTGCACTGGTGGTTATCTAGATGCTGTTAAATCCATTAAGCAGGCCATTTCCAGCAAACACCAATCGATAGTTTTCAACGACAGTTTTAGTGATTCCACTATTCCAGCCGTCCAGAGTCTTTTGGGGAGATCAATTAACAGAGTAACCGTCAGTGATTCTGTTGCCAGCCAAGGCTCTTGTATTATCCAGACTGTAAATGTCTGCGCTTCGGAGGAACAAAAGCTGCAGAAGGTACGTCATATGATACATTATATTTATCTATGACCCTAGCGTTTTAAGTTTTAAGAATGTGAGATTATAAGAAAGCAAAGTTGCTAGAGTTTTGGACATTCAAAACAAACAGTTAACAGGAGAACTATTGGGATGGATCTACTTAAGAACTGTCACTGAAGCCAATATTAATGTTTTTTATTTTCCCTTTGCAGTTTGCAGAGCATCTGGATTCATCTTCGTCGAAGATAATACACATTGTTACAAAGGAAGAAAGTTTCAAAAAGATAAAGGCTCTACTTAAGCTCAAGGGTCTATCTGTCTCAATCAATAGTGACTCTAAAATCTCAGAGGTCAAAAAGAGGTACGAGCTTCTCAACTTAGGCGTATTATTTAGCTTTCTTCATATTTACCACTTATTCTCTTTTTCTTTTGGCTTTGGCTTCAGCCGGAAACCTGTGGCACACTTGATTGATATAGAACAGTTGGATACCACAGTTATGAGGGACTTCGAAACCGTTCTACTTCCAGACTTTTTCCCATCAATTGAAATTTACACTCAGATTCTAACGAGTATGGCTAGAGAGAGTGTTCACGGCGTACTTCACAGCTTTATAACAGAAAAGGAGGCTGCTTCCTATCGAGCTGGACCATTAGTGACTATCCTGGAGGATTGTGGTCAGAACATACCTGACCCTTGGAGGAATATGCATGTCGCTATGTCTGATTAATCAAATGTTGTCTCCAATTCTCTCTCTTTTAGTGACAATGGTTTACAAAAGTTTTGAATGCAGAAAATTTTGGTTAAACTGATCAATTTGACTGTGTACCGAATCAGACCATCAAAGTTTTGTGCTAATGGTATCTTTCTTTTTTCGTTAATATTTTGTCTTCCACAGGTGTGTCTAATTTAGATAAATTCGACTAGAAAAATCATATTTTAAAAACAAGATTGAGTTGTTTTTTTTTGTTTTTTTGGTCTATTACATATTTACATCATTAGAAATCTTCACAAAATTGAGAGGTCTCAGACAAGATTCTACAAGTGTATACTTTTGGTATACTTTTCAAAAATCCTTATCCTCAAAAATGTGATAAGGGAGAAGGAAGCAAAATGTGGTCGCAAAGCTTCTTAGCTTCTCTTCACTTCTCTGCTCCTCCCAAATTGTCTCTCGTCTCACCATCATCATCTCCTTCTTCTTGTTTTCATCACAAGATCCATAAACGTATCCTCTGCTTAACCCAAAATCCATCATCCAAAACTGAGATCAGTCTCAGCAAAAGACACTTAAATCTCTCAATTCTCACACTCTTCTTCAATGGGTTTTTCTTATTGGATAAAGCCAAATCCATCGAAGAACTTCAAAGATACACTGATTCCAACAATGGCTTCACTCTTCTCATACCCTCTTCTTATACCAAGGTAGACAAAGCAGGAGCTAATGCTCTGTTTGAAGAACCAAACAATGGAAGCAACAATATTGGTGTTGTTGTTAGTCCTGTCCGTATAAAGAGTCTTGACCAATTTGGTACTCCTCAATTTGTTGCTGATAAGCTCATCAACGCAGAGAAACGAAAGGTAATAAAAAATAAACAAAAACAAGATTTTCTATATAAATGTGTATGTGATTTGGTTGTTGTTGTTGTTGTTGTTGTTGTTGTTGTTGAATTAGGAAAGTACAAAGGAAGTAGAAGTTGTGTCAGTGGGAGAGAGATCAGGATTAGGACAACAAGTGTATGAGTTTGAATACAAAATTGATAGTACAAGAGGAGGGATTAAGAGGGTTTTCTCAGCTGCGTTTGTGAGTTCTAACAAGCTTTATCTATTGAATGTTGTTCATTCAGATAAACCAGAGAATCCATTGGATTCAAGTACGAGAATGTTGTTGGAACAAGTTCTTCACTCTTTTGATGCTCTGCCTCTTACATGACCAACCCAATAAACTGTTTTCTTGCTGAGCTTGTTTGATGGGCTTATTCTTGAGTTGATGGGCTTTGTAGTAATTTATTTAGCCCAATAAATCTGAGATTTCTTTTCTTACAAATAATGTTGCCTAGTTATTTAACATGTTGATGATGAGCCTAGTTAACATTGTTTGTTTGTTAACATTCTCTTCTTTTGTTAACATATAAGTTTAAATAATAACAGATAAACGAAAAATCTTTGTTGTAACAATCATTACTTTTTATCAATAACATGCAATATACGAGTTTGAATTTGGATGATGAACGAGCGATAACACTATCACAAACTAATATATTACAAGTCGACATTATCAACAACAGGCTTTCATTAGGATGAGTTTGCGCCGAGGTAAACACAGAGTAAGTAATTTGTAAATGTCTTCTTTGTCTCGAATGGAAAAACAAACACGTAACTAATAGCCCTCAGTTTCCCAATAATAACAAAAAAGCCATGTTGATTTTTTGACATGCGTGTGACAGATGCTTTGACTTTTGGGGGAGAATGAAAATGAACTGACAGACATTAAATGCTCAGCACGTGAACTGACCCTTACCAAACTAACACTAATTGTTTGTTTATCGAATTAAAGCAATTTTAACACGCTACAAACATATATTACACGATTTTAATATTTATGCATATGTAAACACATAAATAGAGCGTTAAAAGTAATTCTAGTGTTAAGCTATTAGATCTATGTATACATGTAAATAAATATATATATATATATATATACACATATATATAATACAACGTTATTAACATCTATATATACGTAAACACGTACATAGAACGTTATTAACAATAAAATGCACGTAAGCACGTATATAGAACGTTATTAACATTTGTATACATATAAACACGTATATAGAATGTTGTTAATATTTGTATACATGCATGCACGCTATAAAGCCACGCATATTCGTCTCAGAAGAAATAAAAAAAAACTTCGTCAGTTTTATGAGCGCGTAAGACTAAAAAGAGAAAGATGATGGGCTAATGTTAGAATTGTTTTGGACCCCGACAAGAGTTTATCAAAAACTAATTTCATCCCAGATCTTTACTTCTGGGTTAATTATCTCGTATGAATGTATATGTTTGAGAGCCATATGAAAACAAAATCTTTCACAAAATACCCCAACTGTGTTTAGTATTTTTCTGAAAAATTAAATGATACGTATAAATGAAGAAGAAGATGGGTATGTGTGACATGTTATGGCTTTGTGATTAATTTTGGCATAGAATTATCATATCTTACGGTCTAACTTTTCTGTTTATCAACAGTACCTAATGAGACACTAATTTTTCACAGCGTTGATATCATTAATAATATAATAATTGTAATATTCACCCTAAACAATTCACCAAGTAGACAAACAGAGGTAAAATCTTAAGTTTCCCTATTGAACATAATAAATTCTCTACATTTTGGTTTTGACCACTCCTGTTGTGGTCATATTCAATTTTAAAAACATAGATCTATTATCATATATATATGCATATAATGCGATAAGCTATACTATATACTATTATATCTATGATTAGTTAACTCGCGACGCGATGTGATTGTTCATATACAATAAAAATTGTTTATGAGTTATTACGGTTGCATGAATTTAAAACTACATAAAAATCGTTTCATACAATCGTGTAACCCTCGCTATTAACGATTGACATATCGGGCTATTGCATTTAAACATATTTTCTTACAAACTTAGTTATTCATGCTAACTAATTTTTTTGTGTGTCTTAAACGTTATACTTAATTTGAATCTTTGATATAGTGTTACGTTTGAAATATCCCACGAGGCACTAAACATTGAACACATCGACCATTTACATTCTTTTTTGTCAACATGCATTTTTCCTAAAGATGACAACAAAATGACAACAAACTAACAACATTGGTATAAACTATTAAACTACATTTTATGGTTACATAATCAATCATTTTACTAATTGAGAAATAACAAAGAATGTGTCAAATGTCAATGTATGTGAGGACTGAGGAAGGTGTGTTGGTAAGGAGAATTCAGATTTGAATGGGATAAGTGCATTGACTCCGAAAGATTGGTAATTAATTGTGTTTGTGGGAGAAAAGAAAGAAAGAACAGAAAAGTCAGCAATTCAGAAGTTAGAAAAGAAAGGTACGGACAGTCTGCCATATTTTGATCAGTCACTCGTCAAATCATCTCTTTTATTTGTTTTTTTTTATATTTCTCTTTACTTTGCTAATTAATTAATCAAATTTTCTATATATTTAACGTGTCATATACCCATATCCCTTGTTTAAAAAATCGCTAGGCGCTCGGCATGGGCCTAGCGATTAATCGGAAAATCGGATTAAAATCGGAGATTAATCGGAGATTAGTTTTAGGGTTATTTTAATATTTTTAAAACATATTAGCTACAATTTTGAAATGGAAACTATTTTTCAAAGTTCATAAACTGTAGTTTACCAAATTAATATAATACTTGATATATATACACACACACATATATATATATATATATATATATAAATATATATATAATTTTGAAGTTAACAATCAAATTATCCAAACTATAGATAATAATAGCATATCCAAAGTTCCAAACTATAGATAATAACATAATTCAATATCTATAATTCAAATGTTGGAGTTACACTTCTAGTGATGTGAACCCTCTTTTAAAGATAAACAAAAATCACAAACAAATCATACACATATACATATTGATGGGGCAAAATAATCCATGAACGGTCACTGTTAAAGATGGTATATATATATATATATGCAAGTGATAGAGCTGAGAGCTCCATTAATTTCAAGGGACGTGGGGTTTTCTAGAGAGTTTCAGAAGTTCCTAACGATCTTCACAATAAAAGGAATTAGTTGACAATGTCTCGGTTATCCAAAGGATCTAGTTTAATTTTGATATTGGAATCTCATTTTTTAGGCAACTAAGTTGACTTACACACTGACACGTCGCTCATGATCATATAAAGGAAAAAGTAGGATTTTGGTGAAAAGAAACAAACTCTAATTCAATCTTTTTAGCTGAAAAAAAAACATTTTAGACTTCGAGAAGGATGATGTCGTGGAACCACAATTGTCAAAATTAGAAATTTTTATTTTCATGATCTTTTTTTTTTGAAGAAAGTGTTTCAATTTGAACAAAAAAAAGTGTTTCAAATCACTAAATTAAAATTTTAAAATTTTAAATTTACTCATCAAGATTCTTATAAGATATTATCTCTATTTTTTACCACTACATATGTATTTTATGTAAATACAATATTAAATTCTATAAATAACTATCGAAACCAACACTTTTTTTTTTGTTAATAACACTTTAGAATTTGTTACTTTGTCATATATGAATGAAAGTATATACTATTATTTGTTTTTAATAAAAAATTAAAACCTTTAATATAAGCGGATACACACAGTAAAATTTATATGAAAACATTAGTTTTGAAATAACTTTTGTCAATCAAAAATTCAACAATTGTGGAGAAACTTTAATTTTTTAAAAAATTTCAATTGAACTGGTGATAGTATCCATTGAAGTAGCAAACTTGTAACGTGAAAAAACATGAGTTTGACATTCTTTTTGCGATTACATTGTCAAATGGTCCAGCTTTGCAATTACTTCATCTATTGGTACGTCGTTGTTGTAGGTTTACGTATCTTAAATAGTTTACAGATTAGTATATGTATGATTCAATGTATAAGCGTACGTGTGTACGTGAATGAAATTAAAAATCGGAAGCAATACGTACTTGCATTGTGCAATAAAGTGTTCTCATAGAATTTTTAGTTTGAAAAAGAGACAAATAGGGACAAAAGAGTGGAAATGCGAAACAGCAAAAGAGCTATTTGGTATTTTACCAACAGTTTAGGATTTAATAAGAATGTTGACAGAACACTACGCATTTATGTGAATGAATACAACAATTTTTTTAATTTTTGGGAAATAGAATTGAAAAAGAGACAGTGTTAAAAGGAAAATGCAGAGGCAAATTGCAATTTGTCTGTATGCATGCATTTATAGTCTTGTCTCTTAGTAGTATTTTTATCCCCTATATTTTATTACGATGAAATAATGGCCCATGAAATAAAGAGAAAATTATCGAAAAAGAAATGTAGGTATCGAATCTAAATATTTTTAACTTCATTTTGCTAATCATATAATAAGCTAGATTGGTATCACGTGGACGAACTAAAAAATCCTATGCATATGGCCAAATAAAAAAAAACTTGTAATTTTTTTTTATATATCCGATCGGCTGATCCGGTCAGTCCCAGAGGGAACGCACCGAAGTGCTACCATGTAGACTCGTTGTTAACACCTAAATGTTGGACTACTATACAACCTAACTCCGAATTTGTAATGTTTTCCGACTAATGCACGGGTATCTAATTAACTTAATTGCAGATTGTATGTGAATTGTTTGGATCCAAGCCCAAACATTTTCACACAAATGTAATTTTTGTTTTAAAGGTAGAACATGTATTAGTTCTTTCCAACTTTTCCTTTATTCTCTCTTACCACTAGACAATAGTCGTGTCTACAAAAAACTTGTAATTGGTTTGCATTTATATTCGAAAATTAATACTTTCGTGGCCTATGAAATTCATTCAGAATACAATATTATATATTAAACTTTGTTATTTTATGATCATGACAGTTATTATTATTAATTTATTTCATTGTAATTTATGAAGTCCCGAACCAATAAATCTAAACCAATAGTATTGGAATTGATATACGTAAATCTTGTGGCTTCGTTAGCATATATAGCCGTCCAATAAATTGGACTTTAATTACTTAAATCATGAATATCTAACTTTTTACGGTTTATATATTACCGACATGAAACTTTGTTTTTTTTGCTTTTTGAAAAAGCTTTCCTGAAACTTTCTTCACCGAACCAAACAAATCTGAGTATAAACTTTATAGTTTTTAACAGATATATTATTGGTAATGTAGAATTTAAAATATGGAATTTCAATATGATTATTTGTAGACGAGAACAATAATAATAACCTTTAGTCCCAAAAGAATTGAATATCCAGAATCAAGAATGTTGACAGAGGGGCAGAGACAGGGCTTTAGAGCCTATAGACAACTAATAGGTGCGAATGCTAATGCATGCAATGTTTTTGCATGCAGACGTTATATAGTCAAAATGCTCAGTTTCTGGAGATTCTAAAGAGACAATTCTATGTGTGATGTGATATTTGAGATACATTTTTATGTTTTAATTTACAAAATTTGTTAAATCAATACATGTCTGTGTATAAAATAAAATTAAATGGACTTATGATTATAATTTTGTATGTAGATCATGATCATGAAAACATAATTACTCCCTCCGTTTCAAAATATAAGGCGTTTTGGAGAAACTTTTTTGTTTCACAATATAAGTCGTTTTCAAATTTCTATGCAAATTATATATTACTTTAATATTTTATGATTATTTCTATTATGCAGTCTCTTTTATGATTGACTGAACTTTTTAAAAGTAGATTTTCTTAATCGGCTTGCTTTTAACTAAAACGTCTTATATTTTGAAACAGAGAGAGTAATACATAGAACGCGTATTTTTCATTTCACATTGTTTTACCAATTTACTAGCTTGTCTGTCCATGTAAAGATTGGAGAAAATTTACCCATTTTTTCTTTTAATATGATGTGTCAACGTCATCCTGTTGAGAGAAGTAAATCATAATAAAGTAATTATGACATAATCATTTAATTGTTTCTCTTCATTCTCTCTCTACATACATGCATATTCACACACATATATATACATACATGTTTATCTATTCTAGGTTTTGATATGATTGATCATATATTTTAGGGTTAATATCTATAATTATTTTGTGGAACTTTTATAAACCATGAAAATGTATTTTTATCATTTGTTAATGAGTACTGGCGTTTATCTTTGTTTTGTAGTAGTATGTTTTATCATTCTGCACAAAAATAAAAAATAATAGTACTGTGGTTTTATGTTTGTACACAGAAGGATGAGTCAATGTCTTAATTAATTGTAAGAAAGAATTGTATATATTTTAAAAACCTATTGAATGATCCACCTCGAGAACCCATACACCTTCATTGTTTCTCTTTGATTTTTGTTCCTTTTCTCTTTTCTCTCTCCTTTTAAGTTGGTATATTATTAATTGGAGAATGTCGTAAGCTATTCTACAAAACTTTTTCTTATATAGAGTGATTATATGTTTAACAAAAGTGATTATGTAACGTTTCTTTCTATTTGAAGCCAATGATGTTTGAATTATTTGAATTGAAACCAATGATGTTTGAATTATGTGCCATTCGATTATATATGGTAAATCTCGCCTGCATGGCTGTATCAATATACTACTGTATAAGAAAGTGAAAATCCCCGACAAAATAGACTTTGAAAGGTGAAAACTATAGTTACTCCAAAAAATATATTCCTTTATACATATATACTAAATTCAAATATACAGAAGTAGAGTACGTAATAATTTTGGGAGCATATATGAGATTGGGCCAATTTCAATACTATAACATAAAGAACAATATAGTACAATGTTCTTTCTTTATGTTTATTTTCTGTCTAACCCTTCCTTCTCTTGCGTCCCTTTCCAATGCACTTTAATATTTATAACTTTACCATTTTCTCTCTAACCATATAAACATCCATTTTCGGGTATAAATAACCTCATCCACACACACATCTCTCTCTCTATATATAACCCTAAGTGTGTGGAGACAGGATAACTAGAGAACGCAAACACATACACACAAAGCATCAATATTTGTCTGAGCGGAGAATGAGTCCTGTGGCTTCAACGAGGTGGTGTCCGACGCCGGAGCAACTGATGATCTTGGAAGAGATGTACCGGAGTGGTATACGGACTCCGAATGCGGTGCAGATACAACAGATCACAGCTCACTTGGCGTTCTATGGTCGCATCGAGGGCAAAAACGTCTTTTATTGGTTCCAGAACCATAAGGCGAGAGATAGACAGAAGCTGAGGAAAAAATTAGCCAAGCAACTTCACCAACAGCAACATCAACTTCAACTCCAACTACAACAAATCAAACCAAAACCAATGTCATCGATGATGTCTCAACCAGTTAATAATACTATCATTGATCATCATAATCCTTACCATCATCACCATCATAATCTTCATCATAATCATCATCGTCCTTATGATCATATGTCCTTCGCTTGCTGCTCTCACCCTTCTTCCATGTGTCTTCCTCATCAGGTATGTAATATACCTAAGAGTCTGTTTTTTTCTTATTTTGTTAAACGTTTTTCTTTCATAAGAATTTTTTATGCAATGTTTTTTTTATCAAAATCGGTTATATGGATATAACCAAAAATATTGTGTACCTACTAAAAGAAAAAAGAAATAAATTTGAACTTGTAATCTGCTTTATTTGTTTATTAATATCTATGATGATTTTTTATATTACTAGATTATGTAAGACGAAAAACTAATTTCAAACCTTTAAAATTATATTTTTGGCTACGAAAACCTTTACATGGCTAACTGAGAAAGCCGCAAGTAAGAACTCGTTATTATTTATTTGGGGTTTAGAGAATATTCACTTGCTAATATGTATACTACAATTTCTTTTGTTAGTTTTCTTTATTTTTTGTCTGTATGTTGATCATTTTTAGATGGTTATTTTGGAAAATATAGGGAATTGGCGGAGAAACTCAAAGCAAAGTGATGAATGAATATTATTGCACCAATAGTGGAGCTGAAGAGATATTGATGCAAAAATCAATCACGGGTCCAAACTCAACGTACGGTCGAGATTGGATGATGATGATGGATATGGGCCCACGACCATCATATCCCTCATCATCATCACCCATTCCATGTTGTAACATGATGATGAGCAGTCCAAAGATACCATTGAAAACCCTTGAACTTTTCCCAATCTCATCCATCAACTCCAAACAAGACAGTACTAAACTTTAAAGAAAAGACAACAAATACAAAAGAGATTCTGCAGGTGTTTCATTCATGTATCACTGTATGATGTGTCAAAGGCTAAGACGAAAACACGTGTACTTGAGGGTAAAGTAACAGCCGTTGGATATAATTCGTTGAATAACTACAAAACCCTCTCTCCCTCTTCTTTCATATGTCTCTATCTACGCAGTAGAATTGATGGGTATCTTTCTTTTAATTAATTCTGTTAAAAGTTCTTTTCTTTTATAAGATCTTTGATGGGGTTTGGGAGTTATTATGAGTTGTTAAAATGGGTGTCTTGGTTTCTGTAATTGCATGCATGCATGCATGTGTAGGCTATTGTCTTTAGGACTAGACAGTGAGAAAGATCTCCTTTGTCTAATGTGTAACTTTACTCTTTATTTTCATGTGGTCACCTTTCATTTTGATATGTACTATGATTCTTTCCTTTTTCTCTTTTATTATCTCATGATAATAATAATTTAAAAGTGATTACAAAGTTCTTTTGCTTTTTGTTAATTGGATTAGGTGACCAGTTACAACTTCACATCATATATTATTACGAAGTGTTAGACAAAAAAATGAAAATAATTATAGTATGACTATGGTCGAATAGGAAGAAGGAAAAGTATGGGCTAATAAAATATTTTGAGTTTATAAACTTCTGTTTTTGTATTTTTTAAAAACACATGAATTAACTATAGTAAATAATAAGATGAAAATATAGTTTAGTCGAAAAATCGAAAAGGTTCAATATTTGGTGAACAAAAAAACTCTCAGTTCTGGAGCGGCTAGATGTGTAACTGGTTAGTTAGGAGGTTGATTTATCAGGTCTTTTGGTTTGGCAGATTGCTTTATTGTTTATGGACGTGACAAGAGAGAAATATTTTACAATATAAGAATCGATAAGAATTAGTGGGGTGTAACATTAGGAAAAGGACTACTGGAAGTCTGGAACCAGTGATTCAGAGTGAAGTCATAAGCGTCGTGTTTTAGAAAAATGTGTAAATGGGCTAAAAGGTGTATTTTTGACTATTCATAGTGTAAAAGATTTCAAATATACATGTTTTAAATTATGGCATTACATATTTTTGTTTTCAGGAGAGATTTGGTGAGGGCCTAGGAGTAGCTGAGGGAAGCTTGGGTTGGAGTTTTGATTAGTGGCATTAACGAAATGGTTATTGGGTGGCTTTGGTGGTTAATTAGGCGGGTTCTTGGGCAGCAGCATAGAGACATTTATAGGGAAGCATACATAAAACAAAAGAAGCTTAAAGGGAAAAGATGCTAGAATAGGAATAAAGAATAACGTAGGAGATTCTTGATGAAGTTCCAAGAGTGGCTTAGGGAAAGATTTGAATGAAAGTTTACGGAGAAGAACACAAGAAGAACTTAGCTCGGAAACAGATAGAGGTTGTGTTGGAGTAGAGAAATCCATGTGATCATATACATATTGCGCATTTTCGCTATAAACCATTGTTGATAATAAATTTTGAGATACCAATTCCAACAAGCTATAGGATAATCACACTGTTATACCGCACTCGTTAAACTCTAAATCCTAAACTTATGGTGACAAGTGGTATTCCGCGTATAGGTTAAACTTTCAACTAGTAAAAAAAAAAATCAACAAGGAAGCAAAAGCAAGATTGTGATTATCAATTTGTTTGTCAAAAACTGAAAAAAAGTTAAATTTACTTTGATCAATTTGTTTCTCTATCTCTATTTCTCTCTAATATTGTTCTAAAGGATGGATCAATGAAAAGTGTCAATGATATATGAGAAAAGCATAACGGAGTTCAGCTTTTTAGTTAGACATCCCACTTTTCTGATAAGTCAAGGCGCATGAACTAAAACTTTTTCATATAATCACTAGGAGTATTTAACAAGATAACATTAAATAAAAAAAATTCTTTAATTTATACGCATGGTAACTAACTACGATTTTTGTTTGCGTTTCTCTGTTATATCGTTTGAGTCCTGTTTTCGTTCATGCTAGTGATGCTAATGATTTGTCGACTATGGGTTATCTAAGTATATAGCCTCTTCGAACCCTATAGTGCAAGTGACGCCAATTCCAGCGGATAGACCTGTATGCTTTATTGACGGGTCATGGCATGGGGAGGAGTTTAGGAGTGGACACGGTTGAATTGTTTGTGTGGAGGAGATTGTTGCATTTAGGACTAAAGGGCTCACGCATAAGTTTTTTTCCCACTGCATGCTGAATTGGAGACTCTTTTATAGACGATGAAGTGTTTACTGATGATCCTAATGATTAGTATCCTCATTTTGATGGATTGCTCAGAGCTTTTAGAGATAACTTCTAACTTTGAGGAGTGGCCCACTTTTTCTACAAAGATGAGAGATTTTGTGTATTACAAGGGTTTTTTTTCTCTACTTTTAGTATTAAATATACTCCTCGTAGTGGTAATACTTGCGCTAATCATCTTGCGAAATGTGTAAGAGTGCGCGGATTTTTTTTTTCCCATATATATTAAACAGTAACTGATTGACTCTCTCTAAAATTATATATGGAGTTTGATTGTAAGTAAAAAAAAAAAAAGAAAAAGAAAAAAATGGTATATAGCCTCTACTATCTAATCGGTAATCTCAAGCTTTCACATATTCTTTCGGAAGCTTAGTGGGCTGGGCAGTTTTAATACTTTGGGTTTTTTTTGTTCGCTTCTCCATGAGCTGTTTCCTTAGAGCATTAGTAGTGGCACACTTGTTCGGATAGATGTTAATAATTTTATATCTTTATACTATTAAAAGAGAAGTACAAATGAAAATGGGTCGGGTCACAATAAAAACATTGACCCGAAATTCTAAAATCGGATCTTTGAAATTTTTTTGAATATAAATTCGAATTAATAATGAAAAATCGAACTAAAATCAAATATTTATGGAAATCAAATAAAATCTAATTGTATTTATGGTAACTAATTATAAAAGCATATTCCGAACAATACTATACATTAATTACGTATAATATATTTGTTCATATATTTTTGGAACTAATTCCATAACAATCAACGTTTTGTCATTAATTTTGCTTATTTTAGCCAATTATCATTAATTGAAAGATAACTTACTTGCTTCAAAAGATTTCTAGAAAATTTATCACACCTAACCTATCTATTTTATAAATTAAATAGATATTTTTATTTTGGTCGTGTAAATTAAATAGATATGAAATCCATGTAGTAAATTTTAATTTAATTAGATTAAATCGAAATTATGGTATTTTCATACTTATAGCTTACCAAAGAAGTTTAATTTTAAAATTATAAAGATTTCTTGAATATGATTTATAGAATTATTTAACAAGATGATAGATATTTATTAAATTTTGTGAATCATGAAAAATAATAATTAATTTTTAATCATTATATTTCACCTTTCAAAGTTTCAATCTCTCATCTAACAAATAAGATACAAATTCTATTATTCCTATGTCCAAACTCTATTTTGTTGTATGACTAAATAATATTCCCATTAGAGTTGTCGAAGCGAGTTGATTCGTCCCGTTAACCCCGTTTTGTGATAGGCAAAATATATTTTGAAATATAGTTAGTCGGTCCACACGATCCGCGGGTAGCATATATGAAACACAAACCCGTCCCGCGAATGTATGCTGATTTGCGGGGTTATCCGTGAATTTTGTTTAAATAATTTTAAAGTAGCAAAAATTTAAAATACTACTAAAATAAATAAATAAAACAAATTTAGAGAAAATAATTTTATATATCAATATATTTATAAATATTATAATTTCATTTATTAAAAGTTTTTTTAAATTACCAAATGTTGAACAAATTATATTTTTATCAATAAATGCTAACATGCGGGCTGATCCGTCAACCCTCAGACGAAAACCGATTAAAACCTATGATCCACTGCGAATCAATCCATGTGGCCCGTTTATTTGCGGATTTAATATATTTTCCCAAATATGCCCCATAGTGAGATGATTTGGGCTCGACCCACGGTTTCCTATGAATCGTCTAATTTTAGAATTCTAAAACATAAAATCTCATTTTTAATCATAATTAATATGATCGGTTTAATTATAATTAATTTAATATTTTCTCTACAATTCGTTATTATGAATATTTATATACACTACACGATTCGCTCTACTTAAAACGCGCACAATATTAAAATCAACGTATGTAAACCAATATTCTCCCGCGGTGGACCGCAGGTCCTATCCTAGTTATTAAAATAAAAGAGAGAGAGAGATAGAGAGATAGAGAGATAGGGAGAAGAAAATGATTTTCCACTCATAATATGCCACGTGGCTTCTACACACAGGTGCAAACTTGCAACCGAGTTTTGTGTCTTAGCCGAAATCTCCATTATTTCGCATTTGTTTATTACTTACACTCTAGGCTTGAGTTTACCATTGCGTTTGGTCTTAGGTTTTTGCCTCTCTTTTTCTCGTCGTTTAATTCTAATGTTTTAATCTTCGTCTCTGGAGGCTTGTTACCTGCCGGCTCAGGTCTCCCTCTTTTGGGCTTTAAGTCTTTGGTGATATCTTCGTTATCACCCTTTTTGTATCCCGCATTGTAACACTCAAGTTATACTCTCAAATGACAAACAAAAAACTAACTACGATATTTAGTTTTCTCCTGAAATGATTTTTCGAAGTTATAAATTCAAATCAAAATTTGGGAATTTAATCTCTATCATAATAAAAAAAAAACGTAAAATTAACTAAAAGAGTGAGTTCAAAAAATAATAAACGGAGAGAGAAATCTGATCGTTCTATACACTCTGTTACCGTGTTCCTATAATCGAACACATACAAAAGCTTCAGTTGATGGCCGTTAACGGAGGTCGGCCGTTACTAACGTGTTTAGCTTCTCCGTTCTGCATTTGTTTCGGTGACTTCGAATCGTGAAACGCTTTCAACAATTCCTCAAACGACGGCGTTTTAAGTTCTTCTATTGATCCAACCGTTGGAATGTTGTACTCTCTCTTCCTCGGTGTTGAGCTTGTTGCTTCATCCACCTATTTAAAAATAATGTAATTAAATAAAATGATCATTTTTGACCAAAAAGATAAAATAAAATATGATCAAATCGTGTTACCTTGTACTCATGACCAAGACATTTTCCTGTGTTCTGTTTGATTTCGATGACGTTGTCGTCATGGTGAGTTCTTAGTTCTTTCAAGTTTTCAGAACAAGGAACGATTGTGGAATTAACATCCGTGGATGCGTCTTTATCGAGTTGTAACGAGTCTGCGAAACCAAAGATAGAATCAAAGTTAAGAGGATTGCTTATAAATTGGATATATGAAAACAAACGAATTGTGATTACTTACTGTCAATGGATGAGAGGATATCGCTGTTTGCAGAATCGACATTGCTTAAAGTGGTTGAGACCGCGGACGAAAACTGCGCTAGTAGCTTCTCATTGTTTTCTATGGCTCCTCTGGTTTATATTAAC